TACAGTGCGAAGAACTATTGCTTTTAAAAATGAATTTCATGTAAAAAAAAAAAACACTTAGGTTGTTTATAACATTAGGACGTAAGCCTATACGGGGTGATAGGATCATCATCATTTGCTGTAACCATTGCCAGTGTGTTCATTGCGTAGTTTATAAACAAAAAACCGAATCCTAACTCCTTATTGGAGCCGCGCTTCCTGAAATATTTTACATTTTTATTATGACAGTACATATTTGATGAAAAACATATCACGTTCAAATGAATGTACAGTTTTATTGGCAACCACTACGACCTTGGAAGAATATTCTCGAAAGCAAAACAACCTATAGAGCACGATTTTTACCTAACGATTTCATGAAAATACTGACTGAGTACTTTACTGTTATTTTCACCAAAACCAATATTAATACTACATGACAAAATGCTTTATAAGCACAGTTACCAAAACTTACTTGAAAACTGGCGAATTGAAGTATAGGAATGATGGAAATGCTTTGTAAATGCTCATTATTTTTGTAAGCCTACATATATATTATACTAGTTGCTTTATAACGATTTACGTATTTTGGTGCCAAGCTTGGAATACGTGTTTTAATTGGTTTAAAATGTGTGATTTGTTCGAAGCTTTGTGTATATTATGCTGCTATTTCCTGCACGCCTTAATGAGCAGTGAGTACATTTTTATATAAAATAAAGTATTAAAGACCTAATTGAGCCTTGAACGAGACAAGTTTTGTACGTTGTTAACACGATATGGAATAGATCCCTCTTGAAAAGTGCTCAACATTGTTTTCAAATCAAATCTTACTGATTAAATGAAATATAGAAAATTCAAATACCTTAATGGTCAATGTCGGTCATGTGAAATCCCCACAGGTAGTGACATTTAAATATTCTATGGTTTGTTTTACAAATGCCAGTATGCGTGATAACCGTACATACTGTAGTCAAGGAAAGATCCGGCGGGGGGGGGGGGGGGGGGGGGGGGGCAATGGGGCCCATGGCCCCCCCCCCCCCCAAAAAAAAAAAATAAGTAAATGAATAAGTGGCGTCGCAATTAAAGCAGACGCTGCGTACATCTTTTCATAAAAATGAATTGGTTAAGTTAAGGTGAATGGACGAGGAACTGTAGATTCGTGCTCTACGAGTTTATTCTCCGACTAAACCTATTTTTTAAAACAACAATAGGTTATGCAAATAAGATCCCTGGTTTACCAGTTTTGTGAATAAGGGAGATTCCAACAACCTATTGAACTTTGCCTGGCCCTGCGTGTGCATAATAACAAACCGGTATTTTTAACCCTTCGGATGGGTGCACATATTTTCTTCCATTCATCAATTACACACTACATTTGACCTCATGGTAAGTCACACACATTCACACCCACACATTTTAGTGCAAACACACTTATCTTCCCTCACTCTCAAATGCAGTGGAGTTAGTGCTTGTATGTTACAGTTACGGAATTATACTGGAAGAATACTTTCATGCTGTCTTTTACGGGATTGATCTGAGGAGTTTTGACACCAACCACAAGAAAAAGTTGGCAAGCAACTCATTTGTACAAAGAGCTCTTTGACTTTGTAGAACCATGTGTCATTGCCAATCGAAAACCACATGGAGTACACATCGGAATTATGACCATCTCACTCACCACAGGAAATAATTTTCTTTGGAAAAAAACATTACTTTGGACCATACTCTGAGATGTATTGATTGGGTAAGTTTTATTTGATTTCTTTAGTTATTTGTTTATGCTCTTTATGATTGTCATTTTGATAATGGTCTTTTTTTTGCACAGTCCAGTAATTCAATCACAGACGAAACAATCATTAATTAAGCTAAATTTAAATGGGTTTATAAGACTATAGAATGTAACCATCAACTGTAACCGAGGGATATCCACTAAATGATTTTATTATAAAGTAAAGTCAAAGACAAAGCAAATACAAATTAGTTTAACATTCTAGCATAAAATATAGATAATAAATAAAAAATAAGCATTTTAAGTCAAAAACACAAAATACAAAGAACTACAAATAAATTAAAGAAGGACATTTTACATTGCACTTAAGGTTAAAAATCTTTGATCACTTCTACACATTAAATAAAAAAAGTCAGCGCAGCGAATTAAAAATCCAAAGAACATTTTTTGTAAAGAAAATATTTTACAAAAAAATAGTAGGCTTTTCATTAAAATCGGGGAAAAACGTCAAATTTTTCCGGAAAAAAACAAGATTCGAACATTTTTTAGGACCATTAAAAGCTCTATTTTCATTATAAAGTGGACTGTATTATACATGGAATTGTTTGCAGATTGTAGATTCGTTACGAATGTACAGTAAACTGTAGATTCGTGAAAATAATCTACACTTTTAACAATACATGTAGTGTGACATCGCAGATAAAGGTTAAAGTGGTGAGAAATTGCCTCAGATCGCACCACACAACATCTAGTATCCATTTTTTTTCGGGGCCCTTAAGCGGGCCCCGAACCCCACGTCGTATTTTTTGGACCTACTTTTTGGGGGACCAAATTTCATATTTGCCCCCTCCCCCCCAAAAAGGGTTCTGGATCCGCCCTTGGCAGTAGCATATTTTTGTAGTTCAATTTAAGTGAACAAGAGGACAGGCCAAAATTATGTTGCAATGACAGGAACTTCCATATTTTTTTGTAGCTTTGTAAAATAACTACCTCTCCAGATCGAGGAAAACACAGTTAATCGGTGAGCTAGCTTGCGATTTACCCCAGCAATTCCGATCTGGAGCCTGGGCCGGGTTCACGGACTAACTCACTTGTCGTTTTCTTGGAATATTATATACTGAAATGCACGTGGTGTTGTTGCATTTGATTGTGTAGTCTCTCCCTCCAGTCGGCTGGGTAGCAGATCATCCTTCCTGGATGTTGCCCAGCGAAAACACCTGCAGTGGCGTATCCAGCCGGGGGGGGGGGGGGGGGGGGGGGGGGCAAAAACCCACATTTTTTTGTGTTGGGGGGGGGGGTTGGATTTCGCACGAACGTCGGCAATATTGCCGCCATGAAAAATCCCATTTGGGCACATAGGGCTGCTTTGAACAGTGCATGTATAACTAGTTTCATTTGTTTCTTTTAATTTTACTGTAACTGTCTAATTTGTTTGCTTTACCCAGCAAGTTTTACTCTTCTATTTTTTTTATTCAAACATTTTAACTTTATCACATTTTAGGGACGCATGTGTAATTCAATTTCTATGTGTAACTATATTTTGCAAAGTGACCCTTTTCAGCTGCTGCTGTTGGTGATTTTGTGTTTGTATGCCAATAAATAAATCATAATAAATACTGATAGTATTGTGTTATGCTTAAAGACATTTTCACCTTTTGTATGCAAATGAGGGCCGTGAGGCAAGAAGCGTAAGCGGTCCATAGAAAATGTACAGGGATCCAAACATTTGGGTAATTTTCTCTCAATTTCTCCAGGCTTTCTGGTGTTTTTTTTCTTAAGAAAAGCCTTTAAAATCCTAATAAATTATACTGTCCATGGCATAATTGGTTTCTTTGTATGCACAAATAAAACTTTGGGATAAAATAGTGTAACATGTGTAATGCATATTTTTCAGGCTGTCGAGCCACAGTGCATAGGGGAAAAATCTTTGGTTTCATTACCAGAAAGAAATAAGATAAATATAAATATACATAGGCCTAATTAAGTTTCTTTAGACTGATTCATCAACGAAAATATGTATGGGAAAGTATGGGACTTTTTTGGAGTTTCTGAAAAAAATGTTGACGTGTCGCTCAATAAAATCCTGGCTCTGTTTATGTGGTAATACGAATATTTAACCAAAACCAATAGGGAATCAAAAATCTGGATACTCTTAAACGTTCACCCACTGTTAAGAGTTATTCACCAAAGCATTTATTTCATACGAAAGCCCTGTAGTGCCATCAAGTATATATTTCGCAAAGTTCGTTTTTATGAGTTATATATTTCGCACAGTTCGTTTTTATGAGTTATATATTTGTCCAAGTTCGTTTTTATGAGTTATATATTTCGCAAAGTTCGTTTTTATGAGTTATATATTTCGCAAAGTTCGTTTTTATGAGTTATATATTTCGCAAAGTTCGTTTTTATGAGTTATATATTTCGCAAAGTTCGTTTTTATGAGTTATATATTTGTCCAAGTTCGTTTTTATGAGTAATATATTTGTCCAAGTTCGTTTTTATGAGTTTTTTATTTCGCAAAGTTCGTTTTTATGAGTTATATATTTCGCAAAGTTCGTTTTTATGAGTAATATATTTCGCAAGTTCGTTTTTATGAGTTATATATTTCGCAAAGTTCGTTTTTATGAGTTATATATTTCGCAAAGTTCGTTTTTATGAGTTATATATTTCGCAAGTTCGTTTTTATGAGTTATATATTTCGCAAAGTTCGTTTTTATGAGTTATATATTTCGCAAAGTTCGTTTTAATGAGTTATATATTTCGCAAAGTTCGTTTTTATGAGTTATATATTTCGCAAAGTTTGTTTTTATGAGTTATATATTTGTCCAAGTTCGTTTTTATGAGTTATATATTTCGCAAAGTTCGTTTTTATGAGTTATATATTTCGCAAAGTTCGTTTTTATGAGATACATTTTGTCCAAGTTCGTTTTTATGAGATATATTTTACAGAGTTACGGAGTTTTATGAAGTTACGGAGCCCCTAAAGTGACATCCAAAATTATTTTTTTTTCTCGTGCGCACGACATAGTATCTTGTGCGCACGAGATATTATGTCATGCGCACGAGATATAATGTCGTGCGCACGAGATATTATGTCGTGCGCACGAGAAAAAAAATAAGCATTTCTGTACAAAGCATTTCTGTACAAGCTTTCGCTTCAAGAAAATGCCTCCGTGCTTTCTTTAGTTTACACATTTTGTTTTATTTATTTAATTTATTTGAATTTTCCTTGAAATGTTTGAATTCACTCACTTCTTTTGAATTGTCTGCTTCATTTTTGTATCAGAAAGCGCAGCACGGAAATCAAATCAAATCAAATCGAATAAAAATAAACCATCGCGAGGCAGCCAAGAATCATCCCCGATTTACTCAAGAATTGATAGTCGCGGCGAGTCGGCTTAAAAACCGGGAATGTGTGACCCCAGCATAAGCAATATATTCTATTGGTCTTTGTCAATACAGGAATTTCCAGACAGAGCGAGTCAAAATGAACCGCAAAGGGCTGCGCGATAAATTCTTTGCCATCGTTATACACGTCTGTGGCATGGTGAGTATTTGCTAAAAAAACCACTACACGTTGCATGTATAGGGCTTTGCACCAGCAGTACTTAATACTGTTTTTTTCTTTCTTCCTCCCATGCTTTTTGTGCACTTTTCCAACGAGCAGGTTTTTGCCATCACAGCCGTGCACAACAGAACCATGCCGTACGTAACCCTCTTTCCATGGCTAGTAACAGATTTTCGGTTGATCTACGTCAAAGTTGTGATCACCAACGAACGTTTATTTCTGTTGGTACATGTGTTGGAGTGTTTCCAGTTCTGCCTTCACAGCGATACCAACAACGATACCGAAGATATGCCGGTAAGTCTTTGTACTTGTGCAAGTTATAGTAGCAATATTGAGTCTGTTTAATACAGAGGTGCTGAGAGCTTGTACACGTTAAAGGGTTCATGCAATGCAGGGGGCGTAAATCAAGGGGGTGGGGGTATATATCCGCCACTTCTTGACCAGGGGTGGACTATTGAATCCCCCCCCCTTCGTGATGAGAAGGAAAAAAATGTTGATTTTGAGTAATTTCAGAACATCCCAACAACCAAAATGTATTCAATAGTACTGAAAGGTGGACAAAGTACAAAAGCTATAAAAATGCGCCGTTTTGATGTAAGTTCGAGTATATATATTGATATACGCCTATATCCTGAAGAGCGCCCCCTAGTGTAATGTGTCCAGCCCCCTTTCGAATTTGTGGGCGTGGCCTAAGTGTGTGAGAGGATGGTGTATACGAGTGGTTTGATCCAATTGTGACAAATACGTGCATCTTCGTGGCAAAACCATTTGCAAGCCAGGTACTGTGTACAGTCAATGTTATGCATTATCCCTTTGTGTTTTTTTTTTAATTGAATTATTGGATAAAATTGCTGTTTTCACCGGATATACTCATAGTCATAGTTTTAGTCTTCGGGCTTCTGGCTCAGATTATACTTTAAGGATTATCGATGACCTATGTTAATGCATATGATTGTGTAAAATCCGTTATGCCTGAAGTTATCTGTAACATTTCCGTGTGTACAAACACGGGTACTCTGCTGCGAATACAATACAATACTATGAGTACTTTGCTATGAGCAATGTTATTATGTGTACCCGATGTACATAATGTCGATGTCAAAATTAATAACAATAAAAACAAATCATAAAAGACCACAAAAGAGAAACACCCATCGTCACCTGAGATGAATTTGCCTGAACCAGGACGTATTCGATTTACACACTCTGGAATAACACTATACTACACCTTGAAAACATGGGTTTAGATACCTAATTCGTTCAGTTATCTGCAATTTTGGCTAAGATATAGTGAAAAATTGATTTTTTTCGGTAATGGCGGCACTAGTTTTCATTAAAACAATACGTGGGACTCTTTTTAATTTTTTAACATAGCAAATCGTTTTCTACGCATTTTTTCTGATCTAGAGACGTCAATTAGAAGTTGATTTTCGAGGGTGCACGGTAACCCCTTCTTCCCACTCAACTACTTGCCTAATAATCAGCAAATCTGTTGCAGCGTAATAGACTACGGCAGCGGCCGTGGTCTATTACATAGACTATGAAACCCCATGCTCAAGACTCAAATCATATTGCCTTGTATTTGGTCTGTCCTTTATTAAACAAAATGGAGCCCCGAAAACGCGCTACAACATCACATCATTTTGTTGATACAATTCGTTTTTATCTCGCATGATTTACATAAACGGTTGTTCTAATACTAATTCGAGTATGGCTGTGATTGCTGTCCGACAGATGTAAACTTATTTCACGGGGTTTTATTTGTAGACTTTAATCATTATTAGTGTTTTGCAAACTACATGTAGGCCTACATTCATTTTTTTATATATGTTTTGTACACTTGGAATCGTCCTTTATTAGAGTTTTGTAAACTTGTGATTCATGACCATGTTTCGTAAACTAGGCGTAGTCATTCAATTAACAAAGTGGGTACCGGGTCTGATCAGCCCCAGTATTTGCTCACGAGTAAAACAGTTTCCACTTTTATCGCCAGGAAAATGGAATCTCCCGATTATCCGTGGTGGGCTCAAGATGGCGCACCAGCACACCGTCTCATTGCTGTTCAAAATCGCCTGTGAGAACTCTTTTACGAACAAGAGTTTGCTTTGAACCACCCCGATGGGTGCAGGTCAGTAAAAAGACCCGAAATTGCCTACGCCGGCAAAATCACGATATGCATGCCCTCAAATTATCCGATATTTGAACATTTTGAGGGCCATGCATGAACTTGTAAAAAAAAATGGAAGCAGTGCAGAGGAATGCAAGCTCGCATTATTGTGAAATTAGGATGAAATTAGGCCCTAAAATTGCTCTATTTTGCAACGGAGCGTAGGCGTTCATTTTCAAAATGGCGATGGGTGTCAGGACTACTTTTAAGGGTGGCCATCTTTGTACGGAATTTTCTCCAAAAGAGGAATTGGTTAATCCCCAAAAAGTTGCACAGAAAATGAAGGATAGCGAAATAAGTTTTCATGTGATGTGTGTATCAAACACATTGGATAGTTGTGAGTATTTGTAAAAAGTTTGGGAAGTGCGCATAATAACCATTGAGGTCTGCTTCTTTTGCTGGGTCGTTTGAAGCACATAAGTGTTCAGCACTCCACCGCGCAACATGTAGGATTGTCGTAGCCTAACTGGCTTCAGTGCGGGAATGAGGGCAAATCAAAACCTCATGCGGGACAATGTTTTACTCGTGAATAAAATTCAGTGATTCAACAAGAACATAAGTCTTGATCAATTTTTTTCTCGAATGTCCTCCGGTTCACTGTACTATTCTGTTCGACATTAATAGTGAACCAACCCCAATTTTGCACTGCATTTTCAAGACAATGGTGCTCAATGATATGTAACCCTGGAAGGTCAACCAAGGTATCATCAAAAAGCACGTAGCATTAGCTTGCTTCTTGCTGGTAAACATAGTCTTGCCATATTAACCATTTAAAGTATGATTACTTTTTTAATTAAAACCCTGCGCAGCGTTTACAAAAAAAACTTTACAACAACTACTTTCCTGCACTACGCAAGACCCTATTCATAGCAATACAACAAAAAGCCACGTGGCAGAGACTTGGCAGGAGGCCTGGTCGAAAGTTTGTTGACACGGCCTGGGTGTAGCCCTGGCTGCAAAGTTCATTGAACCAGCTGATTTGGCAAGGGTTGAATGAGGATTAGATAGGAAGTGAACATTATTGGTGCTCAATATTTTTTTTTCAAAAAATTCGGTTACCTGGGGGCGTAATTTTTTTTCCTAGGAGGGTTAGGGGCAATGTCATGAATAATTCAGTTTTTCCTTTGAATCATTGCAAGACTTAGGTTCTCGTTCTATATTCCCCTTAATTTAAAACTATCTCAAATTTGGAGAAGAAAAATAGCTGATGAAAATGAGCAGCGACGACGTGGATTCGAACCAGGGATCTTTGTATCCATAAGCTCATCTCGCTATCCACTAGGCTACTGTGTGGTAGCTCGACGACAACCGTTCTTTAAAATGCTTTAATGTATTGTAACTAGTTGAGTAACTAACAACAATGCTGTTGATGTCATTGTCCGTTCTCATGGATAAACATGAATTATTGATGACATTGCCCCTAACCCTCCTAGGAATAAAAATTACGCTACCTGGGGCCCAAAGGGTAGCGGTACGTCACTCTGCGCAGGGTTTTAAACACTCAGTATGGGTGAAGTCCACTCTTCATTGAAACAGTTAAATAAATATAATTGTATACATTTATAACCTAATCATAACGCCAAGAATGCTCGTCGTACAAGTAAAAATAAATACGATCATGTACAAGTACATATTACAATTATGATTCTATTCGACAACTTGATTTATTTGTTAACCCCATATTTTATTCTAATCGGGTGATAAGCTATTCGAAATTTGATAAGAAATAAAACGTCTAAAGGAGCCATTAGATGTTTTATTCCGACATTATCGGATAACGTTTGATACACACAATAAATGCTGCAAACAAGACGAATTTCGTTCGTCGAGCAGATAAGATAAAGTTTGCGTATGAAAAGTCGTGGATTTATTTCTCATTTGTGCAGCTTTTTCATATCCTGTTAATTGCTTAGCTGCAACAATGTCTTCTTAACAGCTCAACAACATTTACACCACTGGTAGAACAAAACAAAACGAAGTTAGGAAATAATTTGAACCATTGCAATTGGTCGAGTCTACCGTTAGTACATGGTACGTGCACAACAAATACAACTGAAACATGTTCAGGCCCACAACTAACCCTCCCCTAAAAAGAAACAATTAACTCCTCTATGCTGGATCGCTGCCAAAGTATACAATCATTAAAGTATAGCCAACCAAAAGTAAACAAGTGTTCCAAAATAAGTTAATAGAAGTAGACTTTAACAAATGTCACAAAGCTAGTTATCAATGGATTTTAGATAAGAACTCCCCCGGTTGAGATGGCACTCAACATGGTACATGTACCTTCAATACTAATAGAGTTCCCAGGTACGTCTTAAGGTCCGCCGTCGTCTAAGGTTCATAACGTGATAAAGATAAGGACATCATTTTGATCAAGTGGAAAACCCCATTGCGATCATTACTGCAACTATCACAGATAAAATTATCAGTTTTGGATAGTCCATACTTGTTCCAACAACGGCAGATCAAGTGGGGAAAGAGGCCAAGCCCCCCCCCCCCCGAAAAAAACAACCAATTTTGTTTTTAAGTGACGTCGCAAAAAAGGCAGCCATTGCGTACACCACCATCTTTTGCTAAGAATAATTGATTAAATTGGTCAGAAATTGCCGCAAATCGCACCACTGAGCATCTAGAATCCAAAAAAAAAAAAATCTGGAGCCCGCTTTGACCCCACGCCAGAAAATTTTGATTCAACTTTTGGGGGAAATTTTAACAAAAATTTCCCCCCCCCCCCAAAAAAAAATTGTGTTCTGGATCCGCCCTTGAGTCCCGACCATTTTAAGCTCTGGAAGGAGCTTCTATATGTCACTTCCTGGTTGGTCGGTCAGTTGGTTTGTCTGTCTGTCTATAAAATCCATGAAGATGTTTTTGATAAAATCATAAAATTTTAATTAAAAACAAAGCAAACAAATACATTAATTAAATACTTATCAGAAATTGTTGGTTACAGTAAAGTTGTTTATGAAAAAAAATGTTGTAAATTGAGGCAAGATAATTATGTGCAGTAATGTGTTATAGCAAGGGCGGATCCAGGGGGGGGGCCAAAGGGGGCCATGGCCCCCCCCCAAAACGAAACCATTTTTTTTTTTTTTATGTGACATCGCAATAAAGGCAGGCAATGAGT